TGATCTGTTGGAATGTGTTTTTAGGATACTGTATCAAGGACCTTAATTTTCAAGGAAAATTAAGCCCTTGGCATTTTAGAAGTCTCCATAAAGACCCAGGCATTGTGCTAAGTGACTCACATCCCTGTGACATTTAATCTTACTCTAACATTTTGAGTTTTGCTGGGTATCATTAAAACTGACTTTAAAGATTACAAGAAACGGGGCCTCACATGGGATGGTGTCATGTTGTGTGTGTGTGTGTGTGTAACTCAAGCGTATACATTTAAGTGATAGGTGTTTAGGGCTTGAGTATAGATCTGTGAGACTCCAAAGCCCCTGCCCTTTCCACTGCAGTATGCTGCCACTTTAGCTGCCTTCAGGAAAGGATGCTATCTGTTGCTGGTTGGCCAGAAGGCAGGAGAGTCCCTGAGCAGTAAGAATATTTCCTCCGGTATATTTTAAAGCCTCTCCTGAAATGGCTTGCTTAGATATTACTATGCATCTCAACATCTGTTGACTAGTCATTCTCCCTTCCATCCATCCCTCTCTGTCTCCCTTCTGTCTTCCCTTTCCCCCTCCTTGCTATTCAATTAATATTGATACTGCTTATAATGTCCAGTCCTGCCCTATCCAGAAAAAGCTAGAAAGATAAAAGGGTTTAAGGTAGAGGTAGATTAAAACTCTAAAAAGTGGAGAACTTAGGAAATACTAATTGTATTGTTTACAGATGGAACACTTGCCCCAACCATTTTAACATCAAGTCCCAAAACTTTCTAGAGTTCCATTTGAGATGCCCTTAATTTCTGGCCAATTTTATGTTTTCTCTCTCAAGTTTTATTTCTCCCCTGGGATCTGCGAAGCATATTTATATGTACAATGAACTCTTCAGTCATCCTCATGAACATTAATTTCATAGGACACTATTTATTCTCAATTTGTGGATTATTTATAACTAGATTAGAAACCTATTATGGTTCCAGGTTTAATCCTATGTCTTTGTCTCTCTCCCAATACTTCCAGAATAGCACACAAAATAGGACTCAGTAAGTACTTACTGAAAATACATTTGTTATTTTCCTTGAAGATGAAAGAGGAAAAAAAACACAAAAATCAATGTATATATTGATTTCAGAGAGGAACAGAGAGGGAAAGATAGAAACATCAATAAGAGAGAACCATTGATTCTCTGCTTCCTGCACGCCCCCTACTGGGGATTGAGCACACAGCCTAGGCATGTGCCCTTGACCAGAATGGAACTTGGGATCCTCCAGTCTATAGGCTAAAGCTCTATCCACTGAGCCAAACCAGCTAGGGAACAAACTTTTTCTTTGAAACCTAGAAATACATTTTATTTTTATTTATTTTTATATATTTTATTGATTTTTTTACAAAGAGGAAGGGAGAGAGATAGAGAGTTAGAAACATCAAGAGAGAGAAACATCCATCAGCTATCTCCTGCAACCCCCTACTGAGGATATGCCCATAACCAAGGTACATTCCCTTGACCTGAATCAAACCTGGGACCTTTCAGTCTGCAGGTTGATGCTCTATCCACCAAGCCAAACCAGTTAGATCTAGAAATACATTTTAGTTGTCTCTTCAATAACATCAAGAGGATCTTGATTATTTTGTATTTTAATGTTTATTTTTAAATATATTTTACAAATCAGTTTGTTCTGCCATACTATAAAAACTTATTAATGGTTGGCTTTTTACTGGGAGCATAGATATAGAAGGATCATTTTTAGAAGTTAGATGTTTAATTCCTTTACCCTTTGTATTATTTCTTACATTATTCTTCAGAGATTTAATATGATAGCTCATTGGAAGAAAAATTGTGCTAGATTCATAGAGAATGCTGATTAAATTTTGTAGGGAGGGGCACAAAGTTTGCTTGGAAAAGGTCATGGATTAAAGAAAGTAATGAGCAATAATATTTCTGAGAATAAAAGCAATAGTAAAGCTGTTACAGTATTTTTTCGCATGCCTTTAGAAAATGAGTTGTTAGTAATTTGTGTTTAGTTCATGTACTCTGTTAACAATAACTTTCCTTAACATAGTGATCTTTATGCTTAGAGAGTGAAATAAACATGCTTTCCATTTTCCACAAGGAAATTAAAGGACACTAATATTAAGTAATCTGCTCAGGACTGCATTGATGATAATTAAGTAGATCAGGCTCTTCTCTTTTTTCTATCAAGTCCTTGGTTTTTCAGTCCATATACATAATTACTTTTGGATATACACATTAATTTTCTTTGAGAGAAATCTCTAGCTACCACTTCATGTTCTTGGTGTACTTATCAAACTTGAACTGTTGCCCTAGCAAGTGTGGCTAAGTTAGTTGAGTGTTTACCCATGCACCAAAATATCACTGGTGTGATTCCTATTCAGAGCATATGATGGGGTTGTAAATTTGACCCCCAGTAGGATACATGCAGGAGGCAGCAATCCATGTTTCTCTCTCTCCTGCCCCTATCCTCTCTCTCTGAAATCATATAAGAACATATTTTTTAAAAAAGATTACAAAAATATACCCCAAACCCCTGATTTTAATTCAATTCAGTTTAACTTATCATTACCCTTAGATAGCCTCTTCTATTTTTATTTTTTTTTTCTTTGCAACTGTTACTCATTTCAGCAAGAAAGTAAAGAAAATAAGATTATTTTAGTATGTTGTAAACATCTTCCTGGGTAACTTTTTAGGCATTATTTAATGCAATAATATATTTCAAATAAGACATTTTCTTATAATTCAACATTCACCCAACAAAATTTTTATTAAGTGACAATCATGGGTAAGGTATTATGCTAAAATTTGGAATATGATGAAAGATAAAACATATGTCTGGATCTTGTGGGGTTCTGTTCAGCCAGGGAAAGGAGAGAGACAAGACAAACCAATAAGAAAATATTACAAATATAGTGATCAAAGTCCACAATTCACATGTTCAGCCATTCAACAAAACGCAGGTACAGTTTTAGGTGCTGCCAAATGGTAGTGAACAAAAAGGACCAAAATCTTTTTTTCCTCACAGAACTGACATTTTAGTATGGAACCTAAGGATCATAAAAGAGCAAACATTGGAGTAAGAAAAACCTACTTAAAAAGGTGACATTACCTTCTCAGTCTTTTTTTTTTTTAATATATTTTATTGATTTTCTACAGAGAGGAAGGGAGAGAGATAGAGAGTTAGAAACATCGATGAGAGAGAGTCATCGATCAGCTGCCTCTTGCACACCCCCTACTGGGGATATGCCCGCAACCAAGGTACATGCCCTTGACCGGAATCGAACCCGGGACCCTTCAGTCCCCAAGCCAACGCTCTATCCATTGAGCCAAACCGGTCTTGGCAACCTTCTCAGTCTTATTTAAAGGGACAAATAAGCTCTAATTAGCACAGTAATGACCATTAGGAATCTTCAGAACATCAGTTATATAGCAAGATGATTCAAGAGCATTGAAAGTGAAGCTACTTTTCCATTTGTAGCCTCATTCCCTTGAGGTATTGCACAGGCATGTGCCATGGATGGCAGGTTTCCACTATCAGAAATCTTTCTGGATCTAGCTAGTTCCTAAAGCCATCAAATCTCTATGTCAACACCACCATGAAAGATCAATTCATTTAAAGTGAAATAAGGTAGAATGGTACAATTTGTCTCACTTGATTCAGTAGTAATGTCTTCAATTTTGTAGCGTATGTTACATCAGAACAGATTTTTCTTTCTTAAATGGAAGACTCTCAAGGATGTCGAACTTGTTTTTACTTTAGCTCAGTCTTTCAATTCCAGCATAAACTAAATGTTCCCCATCCATTTTGTTCATCTCTTGTGCCAAGATGTTCTCTGTAAGTTCTCCATATATTAACTTTGGCAAACCATAATAATTCAAGATAAATCAGATCTTTATCAAATAACATTAGTAGGTTTTTTTTTGGGGGGGGGGGGCGTTGAGGGAATTAAGCAAAAGAAATAAAAATGAAAAACAACTCATGGATATGAACAACAATGTAGTGATTGCGGGGAGTGTGATGGATGGAGGTGGAGGGGGGCATAAATAGTGATGGAAAAATATAAAATAAGGAAACAATAACATGTGATATTATTGTTACCTAGAGGGGTAGATTTTCTAAATGAGCAAAAGTATGTCTTCTCACAACATCAAGTTTTGTTGTGAAATCGAGCAAGATAATTAATGAATGTGAAATATACTATAAAAATGTCAAAATAATTAAAAAAAAAACATCAAAATGCCAAACCTGTGAACATTTGATTTTATTGATGTTTTTAATTTCAGTGACTAAAGAGTTACAAAGAGTGTTATCTTTTTATATATCTTATTAAAATCACTTTTTTATCTCTACATGTTTTTTTTCCTTATTGTATTTTTAAAAAATATATATTAAATTGATTTTGTTTATGTAGTAAATAACTGTTTAGTGTCAGCACTATGCTGAACTAGAGAAACTAACATGTAAAATGATTCCCACCCAATAAAGGTGAGAGACAAAAAGATCATTGTATCAGTGGTTGGTAATTCTACAACAGACATATTTTAATCTTAATTGAAAACCTAGTTTGCTTTTTCCTAGGATATCACTTCTACATAGTGTTTATTAAACTTGGAAATATGTGGACTAATCTGAATATTGTGTCAGAAAGATCCATCTTCTGCTTGTAGCCTGTCATTTATTTGCTTGATGACCTATGGCAATTTGCTTACTTTAATTATCACCCTTTATGAGATAGACATGATAATACAAGATTTTGTAAATATTTAATGAGATAATTACCTAATATGCTCAACCCAATACCTGGAACATAGTCTCTTACCTATCAGTATCTATTTATTAGTGGTATTATTATTATTATTATTAGTGGCAATTATGATTAGTAGTAGTAGTGGTGGTAAATTTAATAAGATTAGTAGAGTACAATGCATTTAAACAATACATCACAATTATCATTTGCTCCCATGAGAATGTCTCTTCTGAGATTGGCTCATTTTTCTTTACCAGGTGATCAACCCAACACTCACCAACTGCTAGCCCTAGCCTCACGCCTGCGAGAAAGTGCTGAACTCTTTCAGTCAGATGAGATGCGTCCTGCTAACGACCCCAGGGAGAGAGTCCCAGTGCGTGTCCGAATGCTGAATGACATTCTCCAAGACATGGAGAAGAACTTCCTGGCTCAGCAAGTGCCACCAGGTTTTTACAGGTAGGATATGAGTTTCAAAATTTACATTTTATATCCCTCAATAAAATGTCTATGTTTAATTTTTTCAAAATATGTATATTCTGTGAACAAAATATTTTTTAATATAAAATCTATTTTATCTCCAATTTGAGGACCATTCTCCTCTCCCAAAGAACAGTTCAGCTGCATAAATACAGAAGAAAGGAGATCTGGTTTAGCAGTACTATATAGAAAATGATTAAGACATTTTTTGACATTAGTATGAGTTAAACATGATATAGATATAGAAAAAAATACAGGTAGAATTATAGGTTGTATTAGGAGAAATAAACTTTAATGAAAGAATCAGAAGATGAACGTATATTATTCTGCCCTCATATGATCAAATCTAGAGTAGTGTGTTTAATTCTAGAAACTATGTCTTTACATTTAATTTTTTTTTGTTATTGACATTATTGCGGATGTCCCCATCTGCCCCACCCGCAACCCTAGTTGCTCACTTCCATCCAGCTTCTGCCCCCTCTCCCTTGTCCCTACCAATACTATTATCTGTATCCATGGACTATGCATATATGTTCTTTAGCTAATCTCTTCATCTTCCTTTATTCAGTCCCCAAACACCCTCCCATATGACATTTGTCAGTTTGTTCTATGTATCCATGCCTCTGGTTCTATTTTGTTTGTCAATTTATATTGTTCATTAGATCTCACATATAAGTGAGACAATGTCATATTTGTCTTTCTCTGACTGACTTATTTCACTTAGCATAATACTCTCCAGGTCCATCCTTGCTGTCGCAAAGGGTAAGACTTCCTTCTTATTTATAGCTGCATAGAATAGAAACTCTATTTTTAAAAGGGAGTAAAATAAGTTTAATGTTCAGGGGAGAGTGGGCTTTAGAAATAACTAGGGAAATAAAGATATTTGGTTGGGGGGGTCACAATAGAGTGATTTGTGAAAACATTTAAACAATTTTAACAAATATTTTAGTAAAATAACTTTTATAAGGAAAGCGACTCAATTTAGGCTCTTAGAGGATGATGTGAGTACAAACTGTTTTGGTTTTTAAGTTCCTGATACAGTAGAAATTAAACTAAGAGAGGAAATGTAGTTTAAAAGAATATTACGTATTTTAAAATATTAAGTGTGATTTTTCTATGAGACTGTGTGTGTGTGTGTGTGTTTCTGTGTTATAATTTTCATATATATATATATATATATATATATATATATATATATATATGCTAGAGGCTAGAGGCCTGGTACATGAAAATTCATGTACTAGATAGGAGTGGGGGGGTACCTCAGCCCGGCCTGCCTCCTCTCACCACCTGGGAGCCCTCAGGGTTGGGAGGTGACCTAGCAATCCGGAGGAGTCAGTAATCTATCACGCCTTTGCTGCTTCCACTGAAGGCAGTGCAAGCTTCAGCCGGCCCTGGTTCCCTGAGCCTCAGGTGGCTCTGGGTAGCTGGGCAGCCACCATCTGAGACTTGCCTGCACCTCAGGCCGGCCCTGGGCAGCTGGGCAACTGCCATCCAGGGCTTGCCTTTACCTCAAGCTTACCCTGGGATGCTGGGAGGCTGAGAGGACTGAGGGACTCCAGAGGCAGGCACACAGCAAGGACAAGGCTAGGCCTGCCCCAGGCCACTCAGCCCCCTAGCTGCCCAGGGTCAACCACTCTACGTGCCTGCCATCCCAGTGGGGCTGAGGGTACTTGGTGGCTGTGGGTGCTGTCCTCTTTGAGGAAATGGCAGTCAATTAGCATATACACTCCTTATTGGCTAAGCACCACCATCTTTGTGATGGCATGAGAGTCAATTATCATGTTCCCTATTTATTAGATAGGATATCTTACCGTATTTTTCGGACCATAAGATGCTCCGGACCATAAGACACACCAGTTTTTAGAGAAGGGAAATGAAGAAAAAAAGATTCTGAAACAAATAGTGTCCTAAAATATTTTATGTGCATTAAAACCCAACATCACAGTCATAAACACATGTAATCAACCCTGTAAAGTAAACAGCAGCATTTAGAACCATTTTAGAGCCGGGCAAGCCCACAGAGACCACACAGAGCCAGGCAAGTAAAAAGACTTTTTTTTAAAGTATATGTGTAGGCTATATTTGGACCATAAGACGCAGGGACTTTTCCCCCCCACTTCTGGGGGGGAAAAAGTGCGTCTTATGGTCCGAAAAATACGGTATATAATAAAATCTTAATATGTTAAGTGTCCAGTTGTCCATTGAAACAATCAAAGCTTAATATGCTAATGATATGCTAAGGTCACTCAATCGCTCACTATGACACTGACCACCAGGAGGCAGACAGTCGACCCAATGACCAGTCTATGATGTGCACTGAACACCACAAGGCAGATACTCTGACTGGTAGCTTAACTTGCTGCTGGGGTCCGGCCAATTTGGACTGAATGAGATGAACCTGACATACCCTTGAGCATTCCTATGGTCTCTCCCAGGCTGGCCAATCTGCCACATCCATCCCAGCACTGATCATGCACTGGTGGGGTGCCTTGGCCTGGCCTGCAACCTCTCACAATCTGGGATTCCTCGGGAGATGTCAGAGAACCAGTTTCAGCCCAATGGCAGAACAACCAGTCACTATAATGCACACTGACCACCCAGAGTCATATACTTAATGCAGGAGCTGCCCCATGGTGGTCAGTGCACTTCCACAGGGGGTGTGCCACTCAGCCAGAAGCTGGGTTCACAGCTGTCCAGTTGGACCCATGGCTGTTGAACACAGCAATGTTGGTGGGAACCTCTCCTGCCTCTGTGGCAATCAGATATCCCCCAAGGGGACTCCCAGACTGTGAGAGGGCACAGGCCAGGCTGAGGGACCCCCTTGAGTGCACAAATTTTGTGCACTAGGCCTCTAGTATATATACCTATATATATATATATATATATATATATATATATATATATGTGTGTGTGTGTGTGTGTGTGTGTGTGTGTGTGTGTGTATGTATGTATGTATATATGTATATATAATGCCTGTCTAATGCACGCACATACACATACGTATATATTCTCTATGTGTATCTATATGTGAGTAGGTATTTATATATATGTATGTAACAGGAAACAAAGACAGGGTACAAACAGATGTTAGAGGAAGATTGAGGCAAGAAGACTATTTGGCCCAAAATTCTCATACATAAAAGTCCTCAAATTTAGCATTAACATTATATTCATCTAACTATCTTTCTATAAAATAATACCCTGGACTAGATATACTGTGTCTATCCAAAGGATATAACCAGGACTAAAGGATTCAAGCACAGAAGTACAATTCTTAATTATATATGAGAAAGAAGTTACTAACAAGTAGTGTTCTTAAGAAACTCCATATGATGCTTTTATAAAGTGGTGAACTCATTCTATCACTTCAGGTATTAAAGCATAAGCTGAATGGCCCTAAGCACTTGAATATTTGGACTCCATGAGGTTTTAGTACAAAAATTATGTGATCTGACAAATCGCTTAATCTCTTCATGCCTTAAGTTTTATATCTATAAAATGAGACAATGTAATGAGATCCTTTCCTAATTAGAAACCTTTTCTACTTTTGCTATTTGGTGATTTTTTTTTTATGATTTTAAACCCAACTTCACATTTAGAATCCTTATTTTATATAATTTCTTCTAATACTCTGTGTCATGACTCTTTAGGAAATGTTCACTTAATAAAGTAGATATGTTTAAGGCATATTGTCTACTACATGTACTCTTGTAAGCATCAGAGCCACTGAAGACACAGGTGTTTTAAAGACACGTGCCCTCATGAGATTGTATTCCAGGGGCAGGAATGGGAAAACAGGATGAACAAGTTGAGTAAAATGTAGTATGGTAAATATATAATAGTAAACACTAAAGAGAAAAATTTAACCAGATTATTAAATCCAGAATTAAAAAAAATATATATCAAAATAGGTAAATTATATTATTAGAATATATTATGTAGGATAATTCCATTTCCTTCTTTAACTTATGAAATTGAGAAATTAATAAAAAAAACTATACATTAATACCTAATGTTATATGATATTACATAATATACTCTTTCCCCATTTGCCTTGTATGGCACTAGGAGTAGATACAGAATACCCCTCATATTATGACTTATGTGTCTGGTAAATGTTATAATACCCCTTCAAAAATATTTTTGGACTCAATTTACTTGATTATTCACTTTGAATAGAAAAGTAAATATTTTTCTTCCTTTGAATTAACAATGATTAAGCATGTGATTTCCCCGCCTGTTAGTAATATCATAATGGGATACCTTGTATTCCAGTGTTTAAGCTTGAAAATGTTGATTATGACAAATGTTTAACTTATATAGCAAACTGAAGGATTGAAAGCTTATAGTTCAACTAGAGGCCCAGTGTATGATTCCATGCACCATTGGGGTCCCTCAGCCTGGCCTATGAGATTGGGCTGAAACCTGCTGTCCTACATCACCTGAGAGGTCCCAAATTGCTAGAGGGCACAGACCAGGCCAAAGGACCCCATGTGTGCCTGATCGGGTCCATGGAGGGACACAGGAGGTTGTCCAGCAGGGGAGGGACCACAGGAAGACTCCAGGGCATGTCTGGCCTGTCTGGCTTAGTCCCAATTAGCCAGACCCCAGCAGCAAGCTAATCTACTGGTTGGAGCACCTGCCCCTGGTGGTCAGTGCACCTCATGGCAAGTGGTTAAGCAACCTTAGCATATAATTAGCATATTACACTTTGATTGATTAAATAACTGACTGGACAAACAGATACTTAGCATATTAGGCTTTTATTATATAGAATTATTATGTAGGATATTTTGGTATTATTTTTACTATAGTTATTGATGGATACTATTCTTCTCCTTGGCTCTGTTAATTCATATATATACCAACATTGCAAATAGTTTAAATACCTTTATTTTGATTTATTTGACTGAGGTTTATCCCAAGATTGCCATGAATTTTACCTCATTTATGAAATATATCATAAATTATCCTAC